GGCAGAACTAAGGCTTCAGACTTTTGGGTGTCTCAGGCCTATTGGTGTACAGAACCAGACTATGGACCTGTTAAGTGTCTGGGAAACCAATGCAGTAGGGAATTCTTACACTATTTGTCCTCAGTGCCAAGTATACAGGAGCTAGAAAATAAAGAAGGACTTATCGAGTCTAAATCTGGTCTTTTGCTCTCCCAAACTCAGGAAGAGATTTTGCTTTCCTGACTGGTCCCCAGAAAAGGGCTTTCATTCTGATCTCACTCTTACACAGGCTATGTCGACCCTGGGAAAGTTTGGTGACAAAAGCCAAACTGGTTTTTCTGTCTCCTTTTGTCAACATTTCATGGCCACGTTGCTAGCTCCCTGGCAACAGACAGAGCAAAGCATTGTGGGGTAAGCATCCCACAGTGCGGTGTTATGGGAAGGCAGAGCTGATCCTTGCACTTCTTGGGATTCCCTCATAGCTCTGTGAGCTCTCCATGCTAAAGAATGTCAATGCAGCACAACAGTCTCTCCAGCCCTCCCCCTGCAACAGCAGTCTGCCTGCCTGCTAGCAGAGCAGAACAGAAGCATTCCAATGATTTGCTTTTGTTTGTTTGTTCCCCAAACTCAGCTGTTAGATACTTCCCAGAGCTTTAAAGGGGAGGGAAGCAGAGATTACAAAACAGTGAGCACAGCCACCAAGTCAGGCATTGTGGGATCCTGGCAGACAGAACCAGTTTTAGGGGCAGGCTGCAACCAACTGCATTTTGGCCCGACCTCCTGAATCCTCCCCCCAGGTTTCCCTCTTGCGCAAAAACGGCTCCTAATTAATTATGCAAATGAAGTGCAGCAATATGTTAATCTGTGCTTCAGTTGCGTAAGCTTTTGTGGAAGAGGGAAGCTGTGTAGATGTAGCTTTAATTAGACTCTCTAAATTGAACCCAGGAAGATTGCTCGCGACAGCAGCGATCTTCTGTTTAGTTAAGACATAGCCTTAGTTTCACATGAACACGAATCTGAGTTTGCCTCATTGCATTGATCAAACTGTAGCAGCAAAGAAAGCTTTTATTTAAAGCAAAGGGATGGTACATCCCTTGGGTCTATCAATGATTCTCCTCTGCCTTTTAGATCACATTAGCACTAAGAAAGGTGTATGATGGGTTTTATACTCAATCTATGTTAAGGATAAGGTGCAGCTAATAAACACGCTACTGCTGGCTCAAACCAATGGGTAGAATAATATGTTGACTTTTTGTTTTAACTAAGACCCACGTGCAATGTTCCACCTTCAAAACCTGACACATGCTTCTGAAGAACCTAGCAAATGCAGCATGATCGAGAGGCCTGGAATTGTCACATAGACTAAGCAACTTCATGTCCAGCAGCACAGCAACCCACTAAATGCCACTGCGTCTGCTGCAGTAGCCCAACCAGCACATACTAGTGCCATGAAAGTCAGACTGTGCTGAAGAGGAGCAATGGTCTCAAGTTACAGTGGGGGAGGTCTAGGTTGGATATTAGGAAAAACTATTTCACCAGGAGGGTGGTGAAGCCCTGGAATGGGTTACCTAGGGAGGTGGTGGAATCTCCATCCCTAGAAGTTTTTAAGTCCCAGCTTGACACAGTCCTGGCTGGGATGATTTAGTTGGGATTGGCCCTGCTTTTAGCAGGGTGTTGGACTCAATGACCGCCTGAAGCCTCTTCCAAACCTATGATCCTATGAAGGATTGGAAATTGGACTTTCCTTCTAGCTGATGCTGAAAGGCTGGAGGGTGATTTCATGAACAACAGAGGGAACTGGATCTGTTCCAATATGAAAAACAAACTAAAGGGCAGGGTACTGCCGATTCAAAGCTTATTATGGTTAGGCGAGTGTTGTACCCCAAAAGCACTATCTGTATTACATACAAAGGGTGCCATCTACTGGCTCATAGGGATAAGATCTGTATATTGTTCATTCATATAACTGTCCCATAAAGTTGTTACACTGCTTTTAGATGAGTAGGTGTTAAGCACGACTGCACATAGTGAACAGTTACTGAACAGTCAAGTCTCTTCCTTGATATGAGTTCTGTGACTTAAGGAGAACATTGACTGCTCTCATGCTCAGAAAGATAACAGCAAGCCAATCTGTTAAATAGAAAAAGAGTTTATGAGTGCTGGGACCATTAATTCTCTTATTGCTGGACTAACACATCTTTTTTGAGAAATCTGTTCTGAAGAAAAGTGTCACTGTGTTCAGACAGAACCCTCTGGCCTATTCTCTAGGGAATATAAGCCCTGTGATAACAAAAGCCAGTCCTGCCCCTAAGACTCTGATAGATAGCTCACAAAGAAGAGAAGATACCTGACTATGAAATATGTTCAGGCTATTTTAGAAAGGATGTTTGATTTTACTAAGCTCTGCTACCTGGCGAGAAGGAAGAAGCCCTTTCCCTCTGGGGAAATGTCTGCTGTCATCTCTCTGATGGCTCTTATTTATGCTTGAGGAGGAATTGTCATGCTGTCTGATTTATAATGGATAGCACTGGTGGGCTGATGAAATGCGATAGCTGTATCCTTCATTCCTCCTGCTGGTAAAGAGGAAAGGATTAGTGTCAAAGGGAAGGCCTGACAGAACAGCACAGAATGGAAATAGGTTGATATCCAAGGATAAGAGTATGGGATAGATTCAGGGCATCTGATCGCTAGTCCTAATTCAGCAATGACTTGTCTGAGCATTCATTTACTCCTCAGTAAAACTGGTAATAAGTACTTAGTACCTGTATAATAACACTTACCAGGGCTACCCAACTTTGGAAGCCACAGGGGCCACAATGATACTCACAGCACATGCGGAGGGCCACAAATTAAATATGATAGCATATACATGCAAATAAATATACAAATATATGCAAATAACTTCCTTCACACTGACGGGCATGAATATAAAGATTAAGGCAAGACTACACAATACGCAGGCCCCATTTAAATCAGTTCTGCTGATATTAATAAAATGCAACATTTACCCGATTTCCACCCATATGACAGCACTTTTAATGAGCAATGACAGTCCAGGAATTTAACTACTAAAATGCATATAAACAGAAGACCATTCTATTGACTCGCCATTGTGGAGCGTGTTCCCAGTGGAGTCCATATTCAAAGGATCCCACCCTTGGGCCATGTGTTGAGTCCTGCATAAACCCAAACCGCACCGCAGGCCACAAACAAATGGGCTGCAGGCTACATGCGGCCCACAGGTCGTGTGTTGAGTAGCCCTGCTTTACACGCAATAATTAGTAAGAGAAACAGCCCACATCTGTGTGGCATAGGTGGGTATTTTACACATAAATCTTTCCATGGCTTGGGATGTGTAGTTGCCAACTAAGAGTTTTCTCCAAGTAAAGGGGAAGGGGGAGGGCAGGAAGGACTGCAGGCTCTGACCTTGTAAGCCTGTAGGACATACTGACACATATGGCTGACAAGAAATTATTGCAGTTGCTTAGTTATAAGTGGCAGTGGTGGGAGACATACATAGGATTCATATACCGATTAATCCAGATAACTTTTTTTTTTGGACTAACACATTTTTCTTTATGCAAAAAAAAAAAAAAAAAAAATAGCTTGCACTGAGTATGAAAGGGGATTGTGGTCAGAAAGTAAAAATACAAAAAGCATGGTGCATGCAGGTCAAGTACTAGAACAGAGATGCTAATGTCATGGGGAATTCTGCATGAGTCAGACTTGTCCCTACAAATGTAGAAATTCCTAGATAGATTGGGTGGGATTTTTAGAAGTGCTGGACTAACTCTGCTGCCACTGCTTAACGCCGAGGCGCAAAACTGAACCTGGGACCTCGGCAGCTCAGTGCATGAGCCTCTATCACTTGAGCTAAAAGTCAGCTGGCACTCAGCTAAGGCTGAAGAGCAAACTCATTCTCTCTCTCTGTAAGTGGTCTAATTGCTACTAGCTGGGATAGTGACCCACACCAAGCAAGCATGTGGGTTACAATTACAGGTGGGGGCATGTTATACCAGACGGAATTAACTGTAGAGTTTGGCTAATGCAGTACACTTTTGAAAATACCCCTGTCTGTCTTGGAGGTTCTGCAGACATAGGGGCAAACCCTGCTTGTCTCACCTCTGAAGAACTCCCAATAACATTAGTCAAAGGAGAGTAGTGATCTGGGGTGCAATGGTTAATGAGAAGCACCATTCTTGCCAAAACCTCTTATATTGTGCAAAGGGCATGACAGTGATTTACAGAACCCTGCAGCGATCCATAATGAAATGCAATAAGAAGAAGGTACAATGCTTTCTTCTGGCACCACTCTGCCTGGTTGTAGTGATATACCCCTTACTCCTATTTCCTAATCAGGGTACTCCTCCAGAGCTCTCTTACCGCTCACTCCTTTCCTGTACACCTAACTCCGCAGCCCCCCCTCCTGATTGCTCTCAACTTCTCTTCCTTCTGCATCCTGTCCCCACTCAGACACAAGCTCTTTGTACTCACTTATACACTTGCTGAGGACTCCTATGCCCAGACAACTCACTTGCCTGTCCTGTCCTTCTCACCTGCCTTCAGTCCCCTCACTCTAGTCTCTGCCCTGCCCTCACATACACTTTCTCCATTTGGCAGTCAGGAGGTTGCATGGTGACTGGCACTGTGGCAGAGTTCAGGTTGCACTGTTGAAGGGATAATTCCTGGGCAGCTCCTTGCCACCTCAGAACCTGAGGCTGTGAAAGGCCCTGACAGTGCCACAAATACACTTTCCCCAGCTGTGACCCTGTGCTGCCATGCCCTGGTTACAGTACCCAGCCCATGTCCTTAGAAGCTCTGAGGAAAATCAATGGGAGTGAGGCAGAGCTGTCTCCAGGTGCAGATACTCTGCACTCCACCCCACTGAAGGACTGGATAATGAGGAGGAGCCAGATCTGAGAGCTGCAGGACTGGTGCCTCAGGTGTACTGTGCATGCCCCACCTTCCCCTGGCTTCCACTCCTACAGCTCTGTCATGTAATTGCTAACAGCTGCTGGGGAGAGAGCACGAGGAAGTGTCTCTCTCTCTCAATGCTGGCTGGAGAAAGGGAGAGTAAAATATGCTACAACGCTGAGCTACTCAGAGGGGGCTGTTAGACAGCTGAGAAGACATGGAAGTGGTAGGTATTGCTCTATTGTTGCTGCTCTTTGGTTTCCCGATGCTAAGGGTACTGGATATTCTGCATGTCTGGTGTGATATGTTTGCTGTTTGACTTTTTTTGTTCTCATTTGTAGTGTCAGGTAACTTACATACCTGTTCACATCTTTGACTTCTGAGCATTGCCTGAGGAGACCATCCTAGGCAGCTTGTCTTCTTTCTGCTGATAGCTTGATGGGGTTAGCTGGGTTTCTTGTTCTGCTTCTTTGGTAGAAATAATGTCACTCAAGGGGTTGGGAAAGAAACTTCAGTCAGGGGTGTTGTGTTCTCCACCAGCTCTTTCTCTCTGTGTTAGTTCTGATACCAGTTTGTACTGAACTCCTCCTCTTGGCTTGCTCCCAAGCGCTGGTTGATTTGCAGGGAAAACCTCACTAGCTAGTTAACAGGTGATGCACGCTGAGCATATCTTAACGAGAAATAGCATAGTCCAGGAAGTATGTGGCAAGACTCCAGCTGGCTGTAGGGAATGTATCAGGTACGGTCAGAGTGCAGTTAGGATTCAATGTTTAGGAAGACAAGCTTCTCTGATGCATTTTCTGTTCAGACTTCTCCAACCCATAACTTTCACAAAGGGAAACTGCAGTTCTTTCTTTCAAATCTGGCATGGGTAGTGTCTCTGAGTGGGGTTATGTTTTCTTATATCAATATTAAATTGCCAGTTATCTTATATATGTATCGACTGATCCTAGCTAGACACTATTACCAGCACCAATGGCCCCGGCTGTGCCTCTAAGACAGAGCCTTTGTTTTGATTAATCTTTATTGGAATAGCAATTTATTTCCAGAAGGGGAAGTAAGTTAAACTTCTTAATGTCCCTTTCCAAGCTCTCCATAAACAAACTGTTGCTTGGCTGTAAAATATCTGTAGCTTTCGAGCATGAGACTGTCTATGGCTCTCTTTTTAAGCTGTTGCTGTACCTGCTAAACATTGTAATAGCAGGGCAAATAATTCACTGAATACTTTGTGTAAGTGTCTAGCAATCTTTTAAATATAATAACTTAGTGAAACCTCTTTCATTGCTCGAGTGGCTCTAATTTATAGCTATCTGCCTCTTACCACAGCCTTGGGACCTTTTCATGCGCTCTCAGAAGGCTGACCTTGAGACTTAATATATAGCAACTAGTAGCTTGAGAAATATACAGGATTGAGGTACAGAAATAAAACAAACAGCACTTGCTTAGCACTGGGAGAACAACTAGATACATTCCAGGAGGATAGGTCTATCAACAGCTATTAGCAAGGATGGATAGGGATTGGCTTAGCCACTCTTTGTCAGAAGCTGGGAATGGGCAAGAGGGGATGGATAATTTGATCACCTGTTCTGTTCATTCTTTTGAGGGCACCTGGCATTGGTCATTGTTGGAAGACCGGACACTGGACTACGTGGGCCTTTGGTCTGATCCAGTATGGCTGCTCTTACGAGATTAGCCACATGGTACATCTGAGCACAACTGACCTCTTGTGTCACAAGCTGAATCTGTGTAAAAAGTTTGCATTTAATGTTGGATCTACTCAGATCTGGCAGGTTTGAAATTACTCTGATCCTGTCAGGAAGAGGTTTATGTAGCTTAAAGGGGATGTGAATCCTTCCAGGACACTTTAGTTCTATTTTTTTTTTTTCAACCACCCAACTTTTCCTGGAAGTCCAGTGGGGTTTCCCCTGTTTGAGCACCTGATACTCCTGGTGATCTCTCTCCATCTTGTATCTTTTGGCAACAGGCCTGTACCACTCCTGCAAGATCTCCTTTGGCTTTTGGAAGATCTAGGAAAAAGACTTGACCTTTTCATATGCCTTCACCCACAAGAGGCAACTGAAAAGGAAAACTCAGCCTTTACCCCTGCAGCAGTCTTTCTATTGTCAAGTGGCTAATAGGTTTCACTTCTAAGCTCCTCATAAGGCTTACTCTATCTGGAATTGAAGCTTCCTCACTGTGGTTCCCATGGACCTTGAGGCTACTGTTGTATTAATTTAAATGGAATTTATGGGCCAAAGTGGTTAGAATTACCTACTTACACAGCAACATTAAACACTTTCAAAAAAAGTTCTGTTCTGTTGGGGGAAGGGATAGCTCAGTGGTTTGAGCATTGGCCTGCTAAACCCAGGGTTGTGAGTTCCCTTCTTAAGGGGGCCATTTAGGGATTAGGGGCAAATCTGTCAGGGATGGTACTTGGTCCTGCCATGAAGGCAGGGGACTGGACTTGATGACCTTTCAAGGTCCTTTCTAGCTCTATGAGATAGGTATATCTCCATAAATGAAATGGTGTACAGAGACCTCTATCTGGGTCATACAAATACCCTTAAAATCCATTTACCTGTTTATTAAGGACACAGAAAAGAAAAAGAAATGTGAAAGCATTACTGTAAGATATTACTTAAAAGACATGAAATGAAAGTTTTCTTTCCCTTGCACTGGAAAGGTGTTTGGGGGTT